TTAATCTCGATATTGATCATTCAAGAAATTTTCTATAGTCACTTCTTTATCTTAGTGCTATTTGTATGATCTTATGTATAAGACGTCACATTCACTTTAAAGAATGGACCATAATCAACTTGTTGCTATTTTCTTTTCACAATTCTGGTGAGATTCAAATTTTTGAAAGAAACATCTTGGTCTTGACCACTCAAGAAAACTTTTATAGCCACTTTTTTTGCTTAATATTATTAGTATGATCTTTTCTTTTCTTATATAAGATTGTCGCATTCATAATCATCTCAATGTTATAAAAATCTAATATTAGAGAATATAAATATGTAGCATTAGAACTTAATTCAAAATGCACTCTAATAACATGATACTATATGATTGATTAATCATTATTCAAAATAGAGGATCCACTTCACAAATTATGAATTAATAAAACTATTAACATGTGACAGAGGGATTACACTTTAGAGATCCATGAATCAAACGATTTTCAAGGTTGAAAACCTTAACGATATGCATATTTCATATTCACATAATCTTATAGAAATTNTAGCACACANCAATGGCAGTCAACAAAAACGCAGCAAATGATATACCTTCAACATATGCATAATTNAGTGATTTAATAATTAGATTTTATTTTTATTTATATGCGAATAATAGTATGAGTTATCTGAACNTATCATCAATTCAGGTAGACTTATATCTATGTTACCTACTGGTAGATGAGATTAACATAATAACATCGATTCATTAATTATTCAAACTATATGATTCACTTTATAATTTATAAATTAATCACCCAAACTAATAAGCATNACCAAGCGTGTGTATTTATCAACAAGTCAAACGTATGCATATAATTGAGTATTATGCAATAATTCCATGAATTTATTATAATACTTTAAANTTNTCATGCAATATAANCGAGAGAANAAATACAAAATGGTCAAGGTTGTGATAAATTCAAGGTGGTGCACTGAACAAATTTATTTTTAATTGTTAAATTCGTTTTCTTATTTTAAGAATNTTTAATTAGAGATTTTAGTAACTTACTTGAATAAGTATCCAAGACGATACCGGAGAGAATCGGCCAAATAATCCCAAAAACTTATCANTGAATTGTGAATCATTGCTAAACCGGTTCCTCCTCCACACATGAACGACACGACACTGACAAANAACGATTTACCAACCAAAATTAATTTTCAGTCCAAAGAAGCAGTATCAAGTGATAATGAAAACAATATACACAAAATAGATCTTGACTAAAACAAGNANNAATAATCNATGNCTAAATGAAACTCTAANACTTGATCTGTTATTGATACATAAGTCAANGATANAGCAATTAAAATNATGTGCACAGATAATAATAAAACAATAAAAACATGAGCGAATAACGAAAAGTACACATCGACTATTATAAACTATCATATGGATTCCAATAATAAACATGTGTCGAGTTTTCATAAAACACTAAAGCATCATATGATAAGACAATATTAAACCAGTCAATTTCGGTAAATCAACAACGTAATAATTAAACATTTGTCGATCGATTTTAANTAAANATGTTTTGGCCAATAAAGTATGTGATGCCACAAATTTATAATCAGATCGAAATAATATGATAAATTAGTAGCACTTATCTCGATTGAGTTNGGACAAAGACAAGATCTGAAATAGGAGGCGGTGTCGTCGGAGATTTATGGTGATGATGATAGAAATTATTTTGATTGCTCAGATCGCTAGGGGTTCGTACTCAAACGGCTAGGCTTTTACTCATGGATTAGGATTTCGTGCTCAGACGGCTAAACTATCGTACTGATAACT